TCTAGCTTTCTGAGGAAGTGCCATATCATTTTCCAAAATGGTTGTATCATTTTGCATTCCCACCAGCAGTGCATGAGAGTTCCGATCTCCCCGCAGCCCCTCCAACATTTGTTATTTCCAGTGTTTTTGATTCGACAAGCACCATTTTTTGAAAAGACATCTTTTACCCATATCTTTGCAAATTCTTTATCTTAGTTTTATTGCACAGATGTGGAATATGTTCTGAGTCACCAAATAAAGAGACAGCAGTATTGAAGGACTTGTGTTAAGGTGAGTGCCAGGATCAGTGACAGCATCTGAGCCTATAGGTAATGTACCACTCATATTGAATTTTCCCTTCGGCCTACAGGTGCTGACTCCCCAGCAGCAAAAGAATGAATTGAAGTAAGGAGGAAGAAGTTCCAGGATTTAGGTATTATCATTTCCGGAGACACCCTTCACCAGAGACTGAGATAGCTGAAGAGAAATTTAGAGCTGATCTAAAAGACACAAAAGACAGAGCATCCCAGTTTCTGGCCATTTCCTGAAAACAAAAGAAAATGGTGAAGACACAGGTGACTTTTGCTTTGTTTTGTGCTTTCCTTTGTTCCTTAATAGATTTGTGGATGACTATAAAATATCAGTTCAGTTAATCTGAAAAGTGTATATTTGGAAATATAGGAGCTGGAAAGAAATAAACATAGACTCTGACTTCAACATCAGGCAAAGCAGGATGCAGAATATTGTTCTTAGGATTAACATCAAATTACTGATGTTGGACTATAATGTATGACAGGCGGATCCTGTGGGTTGCATTAGTTATCAACTTGCATTTAATATCTCTCACCAACAAACAAGAAAATCATTATAATTTACATGGTAAACACTGATTTAAGGAGAAAGATCAGTTTCTTGGGGGATTTCAATATTTCGTGGGACTTTTGTCTGAGTTTCTTTGATCGTTCTTCCTAGAGGTGATGTGATGGATGGTGTCCTGAACAACAGCATTCTTGTAAATGAAAAAGCTGGTTTCCTGTGGCTGTTTCTTCCAGGGTTCCTCATAGACCTCTGTAGGAATAGACCAAGCAAACTCAGTGGACACAAGAGACAAATGCAAGTTAACCTATGGACTCAGCCTTGTGGTGGTCTGTGTTTATCCAGGAAAAAACCTAAACATCCTAGGAAAATGGAAGCATTGCACAACTTTCAAACACTTTTCAATGAACCCATGTTTGAGTACAGACTTGGAAGTAGGGAGTTGAAAGTACTCTTGGCTGGTAATGGATTGGGTTCTTGCACTGTATAAGATTTACTTTAAAACTTCACCTCATCTTAGAAAATGCAGTCTTTTCTCATGTTCAAATCTACTTCTTAACCTGCCTTTTATTGCCTTTATTATTATTTTTTAAGTACACAAATGACTCATGGATATATTTTAATGGTGAAAGATTTAAATCATAACAAAGTACACATACCAGAAAAAAAGTTCTCTCTACATACACGTCTTTTCTAGTCTCCTTTTTAAAATTGTTGGTAGTGTTTACTTCCTGCATGATGTATGTGTGTGTATTACTTCCTGCATGATGTATGTATTTATATTATTTATATTTATATATATACACACACACACACACATACACACACACATAAATATGTGCATATACAGAAACACTTCTATTGTAATATTTGTAAATGAATGGAATCATATTACAAAGACAGTAGAGGCCAACTTGAAGGGACTGTCCGTTGGCCTTAGATGGTATAGTTTGAACATCTGAAGACCAATTGCTGTATCATTGAAGAGCATTTCCATGAGGTCATAGTCATACTGGAAAAAAATAAAGTACATTTGTCAACACGGGGGTTTGGGAGAGAACCAGTATTTAATCTGAACAAATTTAAAGGGACGTAATCATACGTATAGTCTTTTTTAAGTGTGGAGGCTGACCCTGACATTAAAAAATATATTTTCCATCTCTGTAATTTTGTAATTCCAAGAATTTTATATAGATGTAATCATAGTGTGAGTAATCTTTTAGAATAAGTGGATTAATGAGTTGCCATGGGTTAGGTAGGGGGAGAGGGAGGGATGTGTCTGAGGCTATAAAAGTACCAGGAAGGACTGTTGTGATGGAACTGTTTGGTTTCCTTTTTCTTATCATGCTAAAAATATATATCACCAAAACTTTGTGGTTTCAACCTGTTTTAATTGTACAATTCAGTGACATTAATCACATTTGCCCTGCTGTGCACCTGTCACCATGTTCTGTATGGTGGTCACATGAGTCTACATATGTGATAACACTACATAGAGCTAGCTAAAGACACCTACACAAAGAGGTCATGTAAGCTAATAAATCTGAATAAGCTGTATTGATTGTGTCAGTGTCAATTTCCTGGTTATTATAGTGTACTACAGTTATGTAAGATGTTACTATTGTAGAACACCTGATGAAGGGTATATATCAAGTCTTAGTTTCTTAGTGCTGCTATAATAGAAATACCACAAATGGGTGGATTTAATGAACAGAAATTTCTTTTCTCACAGTTTCATAGGCTAAAAGTCTTAATTCGGGGTGCCGACCATAGGGGAAGGCTCTCTCTGTCTGCTGTGGGGGAAAAATCTCTGTCTCTTTAGCTTCACTTTCTTAGTTCCTTAGTGATCTCCACATGGCATCAATCTTTCTTTGTGCTTCCTTGCTTCTGACATGTCAAGTCTCTTCACTGTAGACTCTGATTTTGGTTGTGAAGATTCATGTTTAATGTAATAACATATTTTATTGCCCCAGATGTCACTTACATTATGTTTATTATTTAGCAAATAGGTGGCCAAGTATGCAAACACATACACACACACGTATACACTCACAGATACAAACACACGTATACAATTGTGTATATATGTGAATATGAGATGCTCCTAGGTTACCAAGAACATTTAATTGCTCCGTATTACAGAAACATTTGATGAATGGATGGATGATTGAATGCACAATTACAGAATGTTTTGTTACAATTTTTCTTTTTTGTAAGGTATTTTAAAAAACATTAGGTATATAGATGCAGCCCGTATAGAGGAAATTAGCAGAACAACTTCCTTCACATTTCATTTATATCATCAAAAGTAAATCACTTCACTAAACTAGACCCTGTTGTAACAGGTATCACTGGAATTGGATGATGTGGCTGTGAAGTTCACTTGGGAAGAGTGGCAGCTCCTGAACCGTGCTCAGAAGGACCTGTACTGGGACGTGATGTTGGAGAACTATAACAACCTGGTGTCCTTGGGTGAGGACAACTTCCCTGTGTCACTCGGGGTGCCTAGTCAGTGACCTTTCCTTTCTCAGCTATTGAAACTTAGGAGTGTCTCTGGTGTTATAAAGTAGTAGATTCTCAGTCTAATCTCTGGCCCTAGATGAGTAGGTATATAATCACTACTCCTGAGAGAAAAACTGTACATGTGGAAATTGTTTTGTCCCGTATGTAACATTCTGCAGTCTTCACAAACCCAAGCCCAATTCGGTGAGTCTAAGATTCTGTCATTTCCCATGAACAGGGTATCAGGTTAGCAAACCAGATGTGCTCTCCAGACTGGAACGAGGAGAACCACCATGGAGTTTAGAAGACGAAATCCATAGTGGAAACTTTTCAGGTGAGCAAATGAAAACCATCAATTGAGAAGGCTGTGGAAGTCACATTCTAGTGAGAGAAGGCATCACAGCTGTGGAGGGTATCTGAAGATACGTACAGTGCCGCCACGTGTCCCTCTCCCGTGTGGACCTTCTGTTGAGTTAAGAGAAAAATATACCCCTTTGTCTCTTCTGAGATTAGATCCTTGTTTATTTGCTCTGCATCTTGATATTTTTGTTTGTATAGTCCTCTTCTTTCTAGGATTCTGAAATCTTTCTCTTCTTCATGTCTTCCCACCTCCCTTGCTTTGAATCCCACGTTTCAAAGAGAGAACTTTGAGTTCATAACAGTCTCCTGAGTACAGCACCTTCCTCCCCTATTGGGTAATACTGATTTCACATCCTAACACCCAACCCCACCTTGAATGTTGTCCCCCCACAGTAAACTGGTCTCTCACTGTGCTTTTATCTGCTTCCTTAGCTTCTATTTCCCTTACTCTGACATTCTCCAAAAGTCCGATTTCCATTTTCTCACATGTTCTCATCACCCTTAACATTTCCTTCGTTGTAATGAGTTAAGCTCCTTCCGTTCCCTAGGAGACTGCCAATTGACATCTCCCTTGATATTGTCTAATGTAGACTTCAACCAGTTGCTGTTGAGTCAACTCCGACCCATGATGACCTCATGTGTGTCAGAGGAAAACTGTGCTCCATAGAATTTTCAATGGCTGATTTTTCGGAAGTGAATTGCCAGACCATTCTTCTGAATTGCCTGTTTGTGGACTTTAACCTCCTTAACCATTTACGTCACCTAGGGACTGAAAATAAACTTTAATTCTATGTATTTTGCTTACCTTGACAACATCAATATCCCAGTATCCCCAAGGAACTAGAATCATATTCTATCCCAGGTGTTAGTACTATATATCTTAAATTCTACTCATCTGGTCATTACTTTGAATTTTACCTATGTCAGGGCCCTCCACTTTACAGGTCTCTGAATGATGATTTCTTAACTAGTGCAGGTACAGCATGAGGAGAAAGGTGGCAAACCCCACAACCAGTGCAGCAACTTGTCTGCTTCTAGAGATTATGTGCTTCTTTGTCCTGTTGTAATATTCCTAAGGATTATTGTTTTCCTCTTTCTGTGGGAATAGAGGAGAATGGCCTAGCTAGACCAATGGTTGGATTGTTGAGTACAGGAAGTTTCCAGTAAATGTGAGATTAGTGTTTTGAGAAAGTTGGTTTGATGGTGGTCTACAGAATGAAGAAGGGCACATGTTAGGTACAGGTTCACCATACCTTTGGCCTATGCTGTCTTTGGCCTCCCTGACATCAGTGTCTCCACTGCTATCTGACCTAGCTCATAGCCACTGTAGCAGTTTTGTTCAGCTGCATTCCTAGCAGCAGGTTTCTGCTGTCACCACCAACACTGCTGCAGGACCCTTTCCCAGCCTTGTGCTGCTGGATCTGCCACAGGCCCCTTATGGGCATCTCGATGTTTTCTGTGTTATAGCACCCAACCCATTACAGCTCTTTTAGGAGGATCTTGGCCTCCTCTCTCGCTCCTTCTTTTCTGTTTTCTTTTTTCCTTCTTCTGTTTGCCTGCCTCTGTGAGGTTGGCTCTATATGTGAACAAACCCCTCATCAAATTAAGTCATAGTCCTCCCACCTGGGCCACAGATTGACTAATCCCTTCTCGGTAGGCCACATATACTTCATTTGCGTAGTATATTGACCAATCCCTGCAAGGTGTGTACCAGTCATGGAGCAGGCTGTAGCCAAGGGCCAGACAAAAATTATCAAACCGTTGTTTACAACTTACCTAGGAAACGTCAGTCAACCTGGACAAAAGTAACAAACCTTCTGGAGTGGAAAACTAGGGCTAAGGTAGTTCCTTGAGGCTTAGGGGAAAAATCTTTCAAGCTGTTTTTCCAAAGAACCAAGGCAAAAGGCCACATCAAGCAACTCATTTCACCACAGCTCCATAAACATAAGGAATGTATGTGTGTGTCCCCAACATTAGCACCATGCCTGGTACATAGTTGTCATTCAGTGACGATTTGTGGAAAGAATCTGTTCTTTACCAGTTTGGATCAGGTGGCCCACCAACCTCTGTGGTTTGGTGCTCAGAGTGACTTTCTTGTATTTTACAGTTTCTATATGTTTTGCAGGGTCTTCTTGAGGAACAGCTGAATATATATTTATTAATTATGTATTATCTCACCTATTTTCTACACTAACTGCTTTGACTTTTGGGTTGTTTATATTGCTGTGTTTTTAACCAGTGTGCAAGGAACATTAAATGTGGAGTTTTATTTATACTCATAGGACTGTCACTAAAGAGCCACCTCACATCACAGCATTTTTAAAAATAGCTTTATTTCAAATTAAGATGATAGAAGGATTCATTGTTCTCTTCTTTTCTAGAACTCCAGAAAATTAATGATCATCTGTTGGGGCACAAGCAAAATGAAAGCAAGGTGAATAGAATAGAACAATGCTATGAAGATAATGTATTTGAAAATACTGTTCATCAGCACAACAGTCATTTTGCTTTAAAGCAGGATCATAGTGTGTTTGACTTACACGGAAAAACTGTGAGATCAATTTTAACATTAATCAGTCAGCGCCAAAGATATGAAGTAAAGAACTCCATTAAGTTTGATAGAGGTAAGGAAATCTTTCTCCATGCCAACTATGGGCAATTTCATACCGAATTTAAATACTGTGAGAGTCGAAAATCCAAGAACATGAAGTCACAACTCACTGAGTACCATAAAACTGACAAGATAGAGAAACCACATATATGTAGTGAATGTGGGAAAGCCTTCTTCTGGAAGTCTGTGCTCATGAATCATCAGATGATTCATACAGGAGAGAAACCCCATAGATGCAACCTATGTGGGAAGGTCTTCTCTAAAAAGTACATGCTTACTGAACATCAGAGGATTCACACACTAGAAAAATCTTACAAAAGCATGGAATGTGGCAAAGCACTTAGCATGAAATCAGAGCTCAATATGCATCGGAAAACTCATAAAGTAGAGAAACCCCATAGATGCAGTGTATGTGGGAAAGCCTTCTCCCGAAAGTTCATGCTCACTACCCATGAGAAAGCTCACACAGAAGAAAAACCTTATGAATGTACAGAATGTGGCAAAGTGTTTGTCACGAAATCAGGACTCAATATGCATCAGAAAACTCACACAGGAGAGAAACCCTGTATATGCAATGAATGTGGAAAATGCTTCACTCGCGAGTTAAGTCTCATTGTTCATCAGCGAACTCATAGACAGTCTTCCTATACATGTGTAGACTGTGGTACAGTCTTTGTGAAGAAATCATGGCTTACTATACATCAGAAAACGCATAAAGTAAGGAAATACTTTCAGTGCAGTGAATGTGGGAAAGCCTTCAACCAAAAGAAACAGCTACTTTTACATAAAAGCGTTCATACAGGAGAGAGACCCTATGTATGCAGTGAATGTGGAAAATGCTTCATCCGTGAGTTAAGCCTCATTGTTCATCAGCGAACTCATACTAGACAGATATCCTCCACAGGCACAGACTGTGGCAAAATCCTTCTTAAATCATGGCTCAGTATACATCAGAAAACACATAAACTAGAGAAATCCTTTCAATGCAGTGAATGTGGGAAAGTCTTCTACCGAAAGAAACAACTAAATTTACATAAAAGAATGCATACAAGAAACAGACCCTGTGTCTGCAACGTGTGTGGAAAAACTTTTGACTCCACACTTGAACGTTTTAACCATAAATTAATACACACACGAGAGAAACGTGTAACTTCAGGCAATTTGGAAGACCCTTCAGTGAGTCGCAGCTCGTCACATACCAGTGATCTCCTGCAGGACAAAAACCCTGTTAATACGGTGACCCTGCAAATGCCTTCTGCGGCATCTCAGTCTTCATTAAACACCAGTGGACTCCTAACAAATAGGAATATAGTCCTTGTGGGACAACCTGTTTCCAGATGTGAGCCCTCAGGAAGTAACAGAGAATTTGTACAGGAAGGAAACCTTATTAATCCAGTGAATGTGGTAGTGCCTTCAGTGATCAATTATGTCTTATTTTACGTCGCAGAAAATGTTACTCTCCAGCTAATCTAATCAAAAGATGTATTACTTACATTAGATTAATTATATTAGGGGTTTAGTTAGATTTTTAGAAGTTAGAAAATCTTAAAAACTTCTTATGATAATTTCTTTTTTGAAAAACCAGTGGTCATCGTGTTGATTTCAACTTATGGTGATCCTGTGTGTCAGATTAGAAGTGTATTCCAAAGAGTTTCCATAGCTGCTTTTTGGAAGTAGATTGCGAGATCTTTCCTCTGAGGAATTCGTGGACTTGAACCTCCAACCTTTTGATTAGCTCCTGAACATTTTTGCTGTTTCTTCCACATGTAGACTTCTGGGGTAATGACTCCTTTTAATGGTATTTAAACATCCTAGGAAACAAATATATATTTTTTTAATGCCCATATCTTACCTCATTGGGTAGATTATAAATTCCTTGATAGTTCTTGTGACTAAAATTTTAAAGTTAAATTATAAACAAAATTAAAAATTCATTTTCTTATGGCAGTAACCATATTTGAAATGTTCAGTACCCATATGTGACTCTTGCCTACCAGTGTGGACAGCACAATGACTGATATGTGTATACTGAGAGAAATGGCCATCATTTCTGTCATTCCAGGTGGTTATATTGGAGAGCACTGGTTTACATCTTTTTGTATTTCCTAGCACACAGAAAAATAACTAATATTTTGATTTGAATAGTGAATGAGTAAACCAATAAATTAAGAGTGTTTTGTCATTGAAATGAATGAGTCCTTGGAGGGTAGTTTACAGAATTGTCGCCCAGAAACTTTTTTATAGAGGCACAAAATAGCAGTTCTGCAACTTCTTTAATATATACTAGGGTTAAAGAGATAAGTAAATCAATTTTAGATAATGGTAGCGGTTTTTTCACTCTCAGGAAAAGAAACTACAACTAATGGAGAAAGGTATAATGCACCCTATGGTGCTGGGTTAGAGTTGAATATAACAATGTAAACTCATATTTACTTTGATATGTTTATTATTAGGTAAATACAGATGTAAGTATACGTGGGTTAATAGCTATGTTCACAGCACCTGACGCAGTGATTCCCCCCGCCCCCCGCCCCGGGGCAGTGAGCACACCCCAGTCCACATCTTTGTTTTTAAATACTATTCTGTAAAAAGAACCAGGGCTCTTTAGAGAAATGATTGATTTTAGGGCTGGAACAGGTGAAGTACAAGATGAGTCTTGAACATCTTGAAATGACAGAAAATAAAGAATTGCTTAAAAAATAAAAGAATGGAGGCATGCCAAAGGGAGACAGGTGCCAACCTGAAGTAGCACTCAACAGCTAAAGCTGGAACCATTTCACTAATGAAATAATGATGCTATTGGATTATATTCCAAATATACGTGAAGGAGGCAGTTTGAGCACAACCTGCTGGCTTTCCCTGTGAGCTACAAGTGAACCTTATGCTTAGCACCGAAAGAATCTGCTTCTTTGGATGGGATGAGCGTGTGGGCTGACTGCCTTACCTAGGGATCTTGAGATAACACACATCCTATAGCAGATGGTGGCTTATCAGCATATCATCCGCTCTTGTCCTGAACATGTCAACATTCCCGTGAATTGCTTAGCTAAATATGCATTAGATAGCACCTGACCAACCCAGTTTCTGTATCTTTTTCTGTCAAGGAGGGAAGGAGGTCCGTGTTCTGTGGCACAAGAAGGTTGTGTGCAGGCCCTCATCCCTGCACCAGCAGCTGTAGGGAGTGACCCACTGACCATGGCAAACAGAGGTCCGTTATTGAAGGTGACCTTGCTCTGTCTCTGTGGTTGAGTAAAGCACTGTTTCATCCAGTATCTATGTGTAAGTCACGTCTTGGTGATCCTGACACATCCAACTATAGAGTGAGTTAGCTATCGTCCATGTGATGGGAGTTCTCCCCTGGAGGTGGTAACAGCTGTCACTTGCTGAACAGTATAAAATAAATATCCATAATCTATACTGATATAAAAGAAAATTAAATGACTACATCAATGAGAAAGGGATAAGTGTTCTTTAGGGATAGGTCAAGTTTATATACGTAGATACACCCTACCCAGCGAGAGGCAGAACTGAGTGCCTGCCTTTGAGTGAAGACTACTTTGTGAGTCGCTTTCCAAAGAATAGAGTATGAAATGGTAAAAATAGTAAATTAACTATGGGGAAAACTGTCAAACCCTATCTTAACCAAGATATCAATGTTAAATCATTTTGATACTATGTACCTCTAGATATGAGGTGATGAGAAGCGCACTTCAACTCAGGTGTTCTTTTCAAAATTGCATAACCCTAGTCTAATGAGGAAAGTCATCGTCATCACTTTCCTCATGGAAAGCTAATGATCAAAGACCAGAAGAGTTGTGGAATGACATCAAGGACACCATACATGCAGAACGCAAGAGAGCATTAAAAAGACAGGAAAGAAAAGACCAAAATGGTTGTCAGAAGACAGTCTGAAAGTTACTCTTGAACGTAGAGTATCTAAGGTGAAAGGGAGAAATGATGAAGTAAAAGCTGAAGAGAGCATTTCAAAGGCAACTTGAGAAGACAAAATAATGAAATGTGCAGACCTGGAGATAGAAAACCAAAAAGGAAGAACAGACTCGGCATTTCTCAAGCTGAAAGTTGAAATATTGAAGGATTCTATGGGAAAAATATTAGATGACACAGGAAGTGTAAAAAGAAGATGGAAGGAATGCACAGAGTCACTGTACCAAAAAGAATTGGTTGACATTCAGCTATTTCAGGAGGTAGCATGTGATCAAGAACCGATATACTGAAGGAAGGGGTCCAAGCCACACTGAAGGCATTGGCGAAAAACAAGGCTCTGGGAATTGACAGAATACCAACTGAGATGTATCAACAAACAGATGCAGCACTGGGGGCGCTCACCCGTCTATGCCAAGGAATTTGGAAGACAGCTACCTGACCAACCAACTGGAAGAGATCCATATTTATACCCATTCCAAAGAAAGTTGATCCAACAGAATGCAGAAATTACTGAACAATATCAATATCACACAGAAGCAAAACTTTGCTGAAGATCAGAAATGATTGCAGCAGTACATAGACAGGGAACTGCCAGAAATTCAAGCCGGACTCAGAAGAGGACACAAGGGATATCATTGCTGATGTCAGATGCCTCCTGGCTGAAAGCAGAGAATACCAGAAAGATGTTTACCTGTGTTTTATTGACTATGCAAAGGCATTTGACTGTGTGGATTATAACAAATTACGGATAACATTGCAAAAAAAATAGGAATTCCAGAACACTTAATTGTGCTCATGAGTAACCTATACTTAGACCAGGAGGCAGTCATTGGAACACAAGGGGATACTGCTTGGTTTAAAGGCAAAAGTGTATGTCAGAGTTGTATCCTTTCACCATGTTTATTCAATCTGTGTGCTGGGCAAATAATCCGAGAAGCTGGACTATATGAAGAAGAATGGGGCATCAGGATTGGAGGAAGACTCATTAACAACCTGCAATATGCAGATGATACAACGTTGCTGAAAGTGAAGAGGACTTGAAGCACTTACTGATGAAGATCAAAGACCACAGCCTTCAGTATGGATTACACCTCAACATAAAAATCCTCACAACTGGATCAATAAGCAACATGATAAACGGAGAAAAGATTGAAGTTGTAAAGGATTTCATTTTACTTGAATCCTCAATCAATGCCGAGGGAAGCAGCAGTCAAGAAATCAAATGACTCTTTGCATTGGGCAAATCTACTGCAAAAGATCTCTTTAAAGTATTAGAAAGCAAAGATGTCACGTTAAGGCCTAAGGTGCACCTGACCCAAGCCAGGGTATTTTCAGTCACCTCATGTGTTTGTGACAGCTGGACAATGAATAAGGAAGACTGAGGAAGAATTGATGCCTTTGGTGTTGGTGAAGAATATTGAATATTTCATGGAGTGCCAGAAGAACAAACAAATCTGTCTTGGAAGAAGTACAGCTAGAATGCTCATTAGAAGCAAAAATAGCGAGGCTTTGTCTCGCATACTTTGGACATGTTTTCAAGAGGGATCAGTCCCTGAAGAACAGCATCATACTTGATAAAGAAGAGGGTCAGTGAAGACCAGAAAGACCCTCAACAAGATGGATTGACATAGTGGCTGCAACGATGGACTTAAGCATAACAACGATTATGAGGAGGGTGCAGGACTGGCAGTGTTTCATTCGTACATAGGGTTGCTATGAGTCAGAACCAACTCGATGGCACCTAACAGCAACGAGGAAAGTATCAGACAAATATACACATCTACAAAAGCCCCCACCAGTACACCTGTAAAATGGTGAGAGTAGCAATACTGTCAGTAGCTGTCTTAACTTCAGGGGGGTAATGCGAATCATGATCAGCTCAGGGTCACTCTGTGAGGAAGAGGTCAGACATATCTCTACTCTCCAACCTTTTTAGAAATTCTGACACCAGCCATCCTTCCCATGGCACTCTACTTCTTTTCTGGGTTAAATAATCTGTTGCGATGACCACACACAACTCACAGACCATAGTTACAGGTAAGTGGTTTATTAAGGAACAGGATACAACTCAGGATCATGAAGCATGTAGGCAAAGTTTCCTTTCTTCAGTGCAGGACAGCTCTCTCAGCTCCTCTTGACTATGCAAACCTCTTAGCCCCCTGAGGACAAGCCTCCTTCCACCCCCATCAGGATAGGCTTCTTCTTGGCCCTGCTGTGCCTCTGGGCCTTTCAGGGCCTGTTGCAGCCGGCTCTGCCACTGGACCACTTCTGAGCCTCAATGTTTTCAATGTTACAGCCCTTGACTTACGTTACAGCTCTTGTAGATTCCTTGCTTTCTCTCTCTGCTGCTTTCTTCCTTCTGCTTCTTCCTGCTTTCTGTCTGAACAACCCCTGTGGCACTGGATGCGTATATACACAAGCTCTTCATCAATTTCAAGGCATGGCCCTCTCACCAGAGCTGTGAATTTACCAATCCCAACTCTGTAGGTCACAGACACTTCATTTGCATAGTCTATTGACCAATCCCTGCAAGGTGCGTACCAATCACAGGACAGGCTGCAGTCCAGGACCAGACAAAAAGTATCAAATTGTTTACAGCTTCCCCAGGAAACATCAAGCAACCTGAACAAAAGTAACAAACACTCGGGTAGAAAACTAGGGCAAAGGTAACTCCGCAGGGTTTAGGGGAAATAATCTCTCAAGCTGTTTTTCCAAAGAACCAAGACAAAAGGCCACATAAAGGAACTCATTTCACTACAACCCCTCAAAACTGGAGGTAGTGAGTGAAAAGACTGAGTAACTTTCACAGACCAGAGAAAACATGATCTCTAAATGTGGAAAGTGGTTGCTTGGAAGAAAATAAAATCCCACTTATCTGACACCAAATTGTATAGATCAATCCAAATCAATCTATTGTCAATTCCGATTCTGTTCCACTTCTGACACCAACTGTACATGCAGCACTTCTTTCTCTGACCCTAACCACCTGGAGGTAGGCCAGATCTCACAAGTTATAAGGCACAGTCCACCCTGCCAAGTCTACCCAAGACCTCAGATGCCAGCTGCAACTTGTAGGCCCCAAGACACCATTACTTCTGACCTGCTGACTTCCACTACTCCCTTGGGATTGATAATTTACTAGAAAGACTCAGAACTCATGGAAAGCACTATACTTATGATTACAGTTATTAAGCAAAAAGTATACAAATGAAGAAATGGGTAGGGCCAGGTGTGTGAGAGTTCCTGTCTTAGCTTCTTAGTGCTGCTGTAACAATTCCCACATGTGGGTGGCTTTAATAAACACAAATTATTTTCTCACAGTTCAGGAGACTAGAAGTCCAAAACTAGGGCACCAGCTGTAGGAGAAGGCTCTCTCTGTCCACTCTGGGTAAATCCTTGTGTCAGTTTTGCTAGCTTTCTTCTCAGTGATCTTTGACTCCTTGGTGATCTCCACATGTCATCTGTCTTTCTCTTTTGTACTTGTCTCTGTGCCTAATCTACTATTTTTAAATCTTAAAAATAATTAGGTTTAAGACACGTTACACTGATATAACCTCAATAGCATAGCACAGAAACCCTATTTCCAAATGAGATTACATCCGAGGTATAGGAGTTAGGATTCTAAAATGTATCTTTGTAGAACACAATTCACATCCTCTAAAAATAGCACGAAGGGGAAGGAGAATTAAGATCAACAGCCCAAGACTGATTCCTATGAGGCAGAGGTCAGACATACCTCCTCTCTCCAACCTTTTTACCAGTTCTGACACCGGCTGTCCCTCCCACGGTACTCTCTACTTCTCAGCAGGGTTCGATAATTTGTTGCAGTGGCCACACAGAACTCACGGACCATAGTCATGGTTATGGGATTTATTAGGGAAGTAACGGGTTACAATTCAGGATCAGGAACAACTCATAATACAGTTCTTTGGTCAAGAAAGCTCCTCTGCTGTGCCTGCAGGCAGACCTCTCCCTCTGCCCCTGGGCCCTTTGGGCTAGCCTCTGCCCTGCTCAGGCAATTGTTATGAGGTTCTTTAGCATCATCAATAAGTGCCCAGAGACACCTCAGAAAGGAGCCTCCTGCCCAAAGGCACTTGGCTCTCTAGCTCTGTGGGTCGGCAAGCCTGCTGTAACCACCTTTCTTCAGTCTGGGAAGCCCACTGTAGCCATCTTGTGCTGACCTGGTTCTGCTGTTGCCATTTCTCTGCCACTGCTTCTTGCTATCTCACGACGTCTCTGGTGTTAGAGCTCTCTCTGTCTCCTGAGTCTAGGAAGTTCTCAGCGCAGGGACCTGGGTCCAAAGGACATGGTTCACTCCCAGTTCTTGCTGGTAGTGAAGTGCCCCCTTTCCGCCTCTGGGATGGCTCATTTTAAGCGTAGCAGATGGCAAAACTGGCCAATACGCTTGTTAGGGTTCCATACACCTTATTTTGCATAGCCCCACCCCCACAAGGGAACTATGCACCTTATTTGGATTGTTAGTAAGCTGTCCAATCCCCTTGGTGAGCCACAAGCACCTTATTTGCATAGTCCTACCCAATCATTTGGTGGGAGTTACAAGACCATGACTTTCTAGCATATAAAAGTAATCCATTGCACTGCAAATCCATAAGAGTTCTCAATGCCAAGCTTCGGTGTTCCAAAAAGGGACCTACTGTCCTATGTATATCAATGTCTTTCATGAACTAGAAAATCCAAGGAGCTTCAGTGTCCAGAGGTTTTATTGGGGCCCTCATTACCTATTTCAACTGCAAGTCCCTCCTTAAAAGAAAAAAAAAAACGTTGCCGTTGAATCGATTCCCCCATAGGGTTTCCAGGGAGTGGCTGGTGGGTTTGAACTGCCAACCTTTTGGTTAGCAGCAGTAGCACTTAACCACTGTGCCACCAGGGCTCCCTCTCTCCTTAGGTCAGTCAATATCATGAGATT